ACCTCAAGTGAGTCAGTATTGGCAGTGGCCGTTCACGACAATGAGGACTAGACCACAAGGCATGATCAGCGGGACTTGTCATTCACTATTTACAGGACTGCTTTGATTTGCAGACCACAATCAGTCTTCATGTGACTGATTGAAAACATGTGCCAGTTAAGTCACCGCTGCCGAAGAAAACTGGGAAAAGAAATGAGCCTTGGATGTTTGGGAACTTGCCTCTATTTGCCAAAATGAATTCTGACTTGATTTATACGTTCTTGGTTTCCTGACAATGAGGGTGGTGTCCCCGAACCACTCCTCCCGCCCGCCTCGCCACCGCGTTGGCCTGACTCTGGCCAACATCATACGGCTCATCTATGATTGTCCAGAGAGAAGTATTTTTGGATTCCAGAGAGTCTACTTTTGGTCCTGTTTTGGAAGAAGGCAATTGATTGGGTCCTTGCGGAATAACAGGTCCTACGTGAGCGAGGCTAAAGGCGGCCAGACCACAGGGCCCTCCACGCAGCGTGCTCCTGTGAGATGTGCTAAGGCCCTGGGGTCGGAGTGGCCTCAGGCAGGCATCTCGGTGAACCTGCTAAGCTTGTTTCCCCTGGCAGGTGGGAGCTGGTGTGAGTGGCAGCTGTCCCTGCGTGCAGCCGCTCCTTCCCTTCCCAGAGCCCACCTCCTTGGGCCCTATGGCCTGTTTTTATTTTCACTTCCCTAAAGTTGTCCTGATTCAGATTTTCAGATTTTTGACTTCATGTGGACTTCTGTCCTTTTGAAAAGGTTCATTTAATGAATTAGAAACTAACTAGAGAAGGGAAAACCCCTGCTGCTGAGACCTTGTTGAACAAAGATTCTAACTGCCTTCCCCAAGGCCTCTGAGGATGCTCCTACGGCTCCTTATTACTCTCTTTAGGGGCCTGAGCGCCTTCCCCAGACAGGGGACTATTGACTTTCTCGTGCGTTGTTTCCCCTATCAACTTACTCCGGCTTCCTCTCCCCAGGCCTCCTCTCATGGGAGGGCAGAGGGCTGGCCAGGCCTTCCATCCCTCACAGGAACTGCCTGGGGTACCACCACCTTCTGCTCAGGGCTCTGCAGTGTTCATCACCACCGCCGCCCCATTTGTGCAAAGGTATCTCGGAGGATGGCGATAACTACCACCCACCTCGCCACCTCACACACGGCCACCACTTAGGACACGTTGGACCTGGGGCTTGACTGGGGCTTGGCTGGTGCCCTGATTTAACAGATGAAGAATCAAGACACAGTGAGGTCAAGTGGCGTACACAAGGTCACATGGATTTCTTAGAGCCATAACGGGATGGCACTTAGAGACCATCAAGTACAAATCTTGTTACAGCTGAAGACAGTGAGTCCCAGTTTCCAGTGACCAACAAGTGGGGACTAGAACCCATGTCTTCTGCTTCGTGGTTCAGTGCTTTTTCCACTTCTCCGCCTTCTCCCCTTTATGATACATACTATCCTGATCAGAAAACGGTCGATTTGAGGCCAGCTCCAGTGCCCCCACCATAGGCAGTCAGAGCCCCATGATTCTTAAACGCCTTCCAATCCACAGCATCAATTCTTCCCGGCCGAGCCTTTGACCAGAGCCCCTCATAGGAGCACCCAGCAGGGTGGCAGAAGCAGCAGGGCCTGCAGGCGCCTCCACTGCAGGGCTAACCCCGAGATGCCATGTGTGTCCCCAGCAGCTCTGCACTGGATCTGAGATGCACAGTGTCCTGGGACTTTGCTGGATGTTTACCCTGAGGCCGGCCATCTCCGCACCCCCACCGGCCAGCTCAGTGTGACAGTGAACAGTGATCCCTGACACCGCGGGGAAATGATGAGCCGAGGGCAGTGACCCTGGGATTCTCCCCACAGGGTCTGACTGTCCCCACAGGGCGCAGCCTCTTCCTCCCAGACCCAGCTCAGTCCGTTGGTAGCAGTTGGCATCTATTGATTATCTGTTATGACAGGCTCCAGGCCAACTCTCCCTCCTCGTGAGCATTGACCCTTAGGTGGGTAGTATTCCTCTCCTTCGTAGGTGATGAAACTAAAACTAAAAAGGGGTGTCTTGCCCCAGAGATAGGCCAGGAGGGACCAAGTGGCGGGCTCCAGAGCCCACGTGACTGCCTGTCCATCACAGCCTGCCAGCTGCAGGACCCAGAGGTCACCAGCCTCGGCTCCCTGCTTTATAGGTGAGCCCAGAGAAGAGATTTAACCCTGGATCCAAGATGCAGAAGGGTAGATCCTCTGAGCATCTCAGTTCCCCGGCCCCTGCTCCCAGAGTCTTGTCTGCTCAGCCCCTGACGTGCCTGCGAGCTGAGACCTGAGCCAGGAGTCAGACAAGCTCCAAGTCATGGAAAAACCTCCATTTGTTCTCCTAGCCTCAGACGCTGGCATTGCACTGAGTTCTGATTTTGTAAAACCGGGTGCAAAGGGCCAGGGATAAACAAAGGATCAGAACCTTCCCTCGTCCTGAGGCATGCTGAGCGCCAGTTCATCTAAAAATAAACTCCAGTGTGAGGAGAACGAGGAGCCGGCTGCCGCGGGTCCCTTTCCTGTCTGCAGTCTTGGCCGGTCAGTGGGGAGGCGAGGCCTGCCCTCCCGACCCTGGCACACTTCCAGAGCTGCACACACTTTGTCTCTGGGTTAAAGAGGTTTTTAAAGGTGACACGTAACTAGTGCTGATGGCAACATATACTCAGGCAGCTCTCCATTTTCTCCAATAAAAACGTGAAAGACATGAAAACAGCGCTTGAAAAAATCTATCTACAGCTGGGAGCTGTTGTCATTTCCCTCCCTTAACCGACTTCGAGAGGTGCTGAGCCGCATTACAAGCTGGTGGTCTCATGCCTGTGAGTGGCCTTCTCCAGGCTCTTCCCTCCAGGGCACGCAGGAGGGCTGGCGGGAAAGCCCGGGGCAGAACAGGAGCCGGCGGAGCTGTGGGAAGCAGGAAGGAGCTGCTGTAAGGCGTGCTCCCTCTTGACCACAAGGAGCAGCCCCTGCCCCAGAAGTTCCCCAAGAAAACCAGGGCTGCTCATTCCTCCTCCCGCTGCCTCTTGACCTGTCATCCCGGCTGCACCTCCCCCCGCCCCGGCCCCCCGCCATGAGGACCAGGAGAGGCATGTGCAGGGGGTGGGTCAGCGCTTGGGGTCTGAAATCTCAGAGAAGGTGACAGTTTGGACCGTGTTAGCAAGATGAGGGTGAAGGAGGGGCTGGTCTTTCTTTCTCACTAATTGTTGGCATATTTAAAGTTTGAGAGAGGACATTTTCTTCTTCAGTTCCTGAGTATTAGCATTCGTGTGCTTCTGGGTGCCGTCTCTCACCTTCTTAAACAGCACGTAACGGGCACGCCTTAACTGCTTGCACCCGGCGGCCCTCAGCAGTCACTTAACGACAGCCACCCAGGGCTGAGTGCGCAGGGGGCAGGGCGCGGGTCACCGGGAAGGAACGTGCTCTCGGCTTTCTGTGCGCGTGACCGACGCCCTAGGAGAGGCATGGTGTCCACGTGCAGGGAGAGGACCGGCCTGAGGCTGGGGAGGACTTGCTGGGAGCAGGCCTGAGCGTGGAAAAGGCCTCGAGAAGGAAAATGCCCCGTGTTAGGGGAGAGCAGTGGCCGGATTGGAGGGTGGAAGTCACATCCAGGACCGTGATGGGCTTCCCAGGGCCCAACACACCCAGCTACACGAGACATCGCAGTGGGGAGACTCCCCTGCAGCTTTGCTGGGAGAGGACCCTTAGCTTTCTTAGCTTCTCAAACGGGGCGGGGAGAGGGGGGCAAGATCCCAAAAGTGTAATGGAGGTGAGGGGACCTTTGGAGTCTTGTGGAGCCAGAGTGGAAATCCCTGAGTGCAGCTGCGAGTTTGGGATGAGAAGATTCCCGGTCGGTGGTGACTCAGAGGTGATGTAGGCCTGTGTCAGGCGAGAAATCGCTGTTGAAAGGTAACAAGACCGAGAGCCAGAGTGTGTTAGGAAGGAGGGGACATTTGGGAGGTAGAGGGAGGACCTGCAGGGTGAGTCCACTCCAGGGCCTACAGAGAGGCGGGAACAGAAGTACAGATGGGCCTGAGCTCTTGCAAGTATGAAGAGTGGGGAGCACTTCTTTGGGGTCAAACATGCTGAATGGCAGAGAAACAGCAGGCCTCAGGCTGGAAGTCTGGGAGAGAGGTGGGACAGAAGGATGGTCTCTTCACACATTCAGCAAACCTAACGACCGCCTAGGGGTCAGGATGGGCTGTGTACCAGTGCACGTGGAGCTGTAAGGGTGGGAGAGGGTGTTACTCTATGTCTCTCTCCTCTGCATTGAGACCTCCTATGTGGCAGGTGCCATATCTGTGTCATCTCACAGCCCCGGTACCCGTGCTGTGCCCGGCACAGGGTGGGCCCAGCATGTGCCCTGTCCTGATGGGCACCATAGGGCCCACTTCTGCAGATTTGAATCCCAGTGCCAGAGAGGCAAACGGCAGAAGGGGTGCCCCTCCTGGCAGGAGGCTTTGACTGACAGGGAGGGAGGGTCCTCTTGGTGCCCAGCCTGGCTTTCTTTCCAGGAGAACAAGCTACATATTTGGTTGGAAATAAATGGAGGCCAGGGATTAGAAATCCTTTCATTAGACCCTCTGTGTCTGCATGAAGTCAGAGGTCCAACTGAGGGAAAAGTGCAACCCTCTTTATGTTTCACGTGTCGGGAGTGGCGGTGGCTGGCGTGGTCAAGTCTCTGGCTTGTCGCTGGGACAAGCCCTTGCCTTTGGGCTGGGAACCAGCAGACAGACCTGAGCACTGATGTCTCATGGGAAGGTCTGTGCACGGCCTTTTAAGGATCCGTGCAGACAGAACAATAGCGAAGTGCGTGCACTTCCCTAGGCAGAAGCCAGAGGCTTTGCATCGGGAAGGGAAATCCAACCCAAGATGCCTGAACAATAGCGAGCAACTGTTCTGAGTCAGGAGGAAAGCTCCGCGCTGCACTTTTCCGAGCTGTCTGTGCTAACCACGTTTTCTCTCCCTTTCCCACCAGGGCTTATTTCAGAACCTTTGTCCCTCAGTTCCAGGAGGCAGCGTTTGCCAACGGAAAGCTCTAGGAAACACCAGTCTGGAGCGGAGGCCAGCCAGACTGCTCTGTCCACATGCGTGTCAGCACACAGGCTGCTTCCTGGAAGCCACTTGGACCGTCTTCACGGCAGCGTTTTAACCCCACACGGCGGCTTCGAGAGCCCGCCTGGAGCCCAGGCCGGGCTGGCTGCCGTGACCCGAGCCCCACCCCGGTCCTCCCTTTGTTTCCTGCAATGTAGTCCTGACTGGGAGAAATAAAGTCGCAAAAGTTCTGATGCAATGTTTTTCAAAGTAAGACATCATAAATGCACACATACCCTTATTCTTTGTCCCTAAAACCTCTTGTAAGGGTTAAGATCAAACCCTCCGTGTGTGTGTGTGTGTGTGTGTGTGTGTGTGTGTGTGTGTGGTTTACATTCCCACCATTTCCCACTGGGGCAGTCCTGCACTGGGAAGGTGCTGCCCGGACCAAACTGACCAGCCTGCATGGTTTCAGCCGTGCACTCAGCCAGGCCCAGGCTGCAGCTCAGAACGCTGGGTCTCAGCCCCAACCCCCTCCCCACCCTACAGCTCCGTGTGCGCTGGGACACGGCCGTCGTTAAAGTTTGCTGAATGTGTGATGAGTCCGTCCCTCTCTCCCCCTCACCCTTCCCTCGGCTGACGGGAGAGCGCTGTGGCACCTGCGGCACTGTGGGACTTACACACACGTCTGTGGCCCGGGCTCAGACATGGCAGCTCTGCACCATCCAGGAGCAGAGCCGAGGACCGTTGGTCCTAAGTGTGTGGCTTATCGGAGCCAGACAGGGTCTCAGGAGTCATCTTGCTTCCAACCAGCCCTCCCCCCTGCGACTCCCTAGGGTACAGAGCAGAGAACAGGCCCCAGAGCCCTGGAGTCTCCCAGAGCAGCAGCAGAGTCGGGAGCTGGGAACCGGAGCCAGGCCTCACTGCTCCGTCCCACGGCTCCCCTCACTCACACCAGCTGACTGCATCAGCCCGCCTGGCAGCTTTACAAGATTCGCAGCTCAGTGGAGCACTCTTCTGCCGAAGGCGCTTACAGAAGGACCCGGGACCTGCCACGGAGGTGAGGGACCAACACCGTCCGCTGCCCCAGCTCTTCCTTAAACCACCTGCCCCCCAGGTGGAGGGGAAGCGGCCCCCTGTGCGGGCCGCACATGCTTTCACCTGGGAGCCCGTTTCCCCGGGAGCCTGCACGGACCCAGCGCAGTCCTTCGTGGGGACTGGGAGGCACGGCTCTCCCTCCTGGATTCTGGGCACCAGGAATGTTCTCTCTCGGAGGCTGGAGCAGAGCCGACAGACTCCGGCTCGGCCACCTGGACGGCTGCCCGGCTCCGATCCCTCACCGCGCACTTTGCCCCTGACCCTGAAACCTCGGGAATTCCCATGACAGAATAGGCCAGGGTCCACCCCCAGCTCTGCCGTTAGCTGGCCGGGTGACCTTGAGGAAGTCCCTGCTCCCTGCTGCACAGACCTCAGCTCTTTCCACTCGCCCGGGAGCTCCGAGACCTGCTCCGGGCCCCACAGCGTGCTGAATGGGAGCTCCCACCAGGCCTGGGCCGCTGGATCCGATAGCACTCCCAGACGATGTGCTGGGTCAGGGTCATGACCCCTCAGCCAGCTGACTGTCCCTCCTACAGCGCATCTGTGTGCCAGGCTCCCTGCTCTCCGCTCCTTAACAGTTAGGATTGCGGGGCCGCCCTCCCGGCAAGGAGGAGCTCGCTGCCTGCAGAGCCGAGAGAGCCGACTGAGTGGGGGCTTAACCTCGGACCCAGGAGGGGTTCCCAGCTCCAGTTCTAGCAGAGGCAACTAGGGGATGGGGAGGTGGGTAGCCTGGTCCCTTATATTTCAAATAGCCAGTCGGCCGCGACAGCAGTCAGCAGTGGGCAGTGGGATCTGGGAGTGGCCCTCCTGCCCCTGCCAGCCTCGGGGGTCCACGGAAGCTCAGGCTGGCCGGCCGTTAATGATGCCGGCACGTCTGCCAAGCACGCACAGCCTCACGTGGAAGGGCGGCCGCATGCTGCATCTCAGCACAGCTCCGCAGCCGGCCTGTGAGGCAGCAGGGAGGAACGGAGAGAGGTGCCCACGCAGAGAGGTGCCCAGGCAGCAGAGAGGCTGAGAGAGTTACCCACGGTCCCCAGCCGGCCACTGCCAGATCAGACTCAGCCCGGGCTCCTTCCTGGCAGGCGATCCAGACATTTTTCACGTAGGTCCAGACTCTCTAGTATGCCGAGGCTTACATTTTATCGTTCCCAGCAAAAGAGGGTATACTCTGTGTAAGCTTGAGTGTGGATACAATGATTTTTAAAAAGACTGTCCGCCCCCTCAGCACAGGGAGAGGGTTTGGGGAACCGAACAGCAGAAGGTGACAATAGCAACTTCACATTTCCAGTGCCTGGGATTCAAAACCAGCCTTTGTGAGATTGTCTCGCTTACCCCCACCCCCAGCAACAGAAGCTGCTGCGCTTGTAAATGGGCAACAGTCACCTGTATCGGTTTAAACACTTCTTTCTAGTCCGTCCTGTCATGGAGCATTGCATTACACACAGGGCACAACCCAGGGCTAATTTGCAAATGGCTACGACGTGCTTTGAGGATGAAAAGTGCTGTATAGGGGAGCGCCATCATCATTATTACCTCCCAAATCCTGCCTCCAGCCTACCCAGCCCTCGTCATTTCAGCGAACCTTTAGCTCAGCACAGACCAGGAAAAGGACTAAGGTGTTTACTAATAATACTCCGAGTGACCAGGGCATCTCCTGGGGCCGGGGCAGGAGGGGCAGGAGCCCTGGTGGCCGGCCGTCAGTCTGCTCCCTGCCGCTCAGCTGGCTTCCTGGGGGCCCCCACCTCCAGGCAGGTGTGCTGATGAGAGGCCGTCCGCCGGGGCAGCTGGGAAGAGGATGCACGTGAGGAGGAGAGAGCTTCTGTTTGAATCCTGCCTCTGCCTCTGCCCATTCAGCGGCTGGTAAATATTTAACGAGCAGTTCTCGGGCAGTTTATACAGGAGGGGCCCTGATTTGTACTGTTTGGCAATTCCCAAAGGGTAAACACTCCCACCAGGCGCCCGGGCCCTGAGCGTGAGGTCGCCAGACGCAGGCGGGGAGAGCGGGGAGGGCCATGGAGGCGGCCTCGCCGGTGAGAGGGGTCCAGTGTGGGTCTTTCCTCAACCTGAGCGTTGTTTCCCCACCTATAAAACGGGAACCCATCGCGCTGCTTTATGTGTGTAAGGAAAGTACATGCACCAAGCAGGGGGCTTGCACACAGAAACACCGGCTGAACAGTGGCTGTCACTGCAGACCAGAAAAAGGATTTTCTCATGTTGACTTTGGCCTTCATCGAAAAAGTCAGAATGCCCCTGTTAGAAAGTCCTGCCAGTGACCCTTTCTGGATTACTAGGAAGACAAAATGATGAGTCATCGTGATGTTAGCGAATGGGAGATTAGACCTATCTGTGGGAGTTCCCAGCACCACCCCCGCGCCCTCCTCTCCCCCCCCCCCTCACACACACTGGCCTGCTCTAACGCTCAGAACAAACAACCCACTGACCTGCTTGCTCACCCGGCCCGTGCTTTCCCACGGCAGGACAGCCCGAGCAGCCCAGGTCACTTTTGCTTCGGACTCGGTTTCAGTTCCTGGTGGCTACAAACTCTGTTTTGGGGTCACATTCAGTGTGCCTCTTGCTGGGCTATAAATAGAATAGCCCCAATCCTGACCCAGTTCCTGGGGACGGGCTGGTCCCACCATCCCTAGCTTGGTAAGATGACACTGAATCCTATTAACGGCATCATCATTAACTCACTGGTGCTTTCTAACGCGAAAACAAGAGAGGGCACGTCAGCGTTGTCTAGGCGTCTATAGGGCTTGCGTGCAGTGCCAGCAGAGTGCAAGTGGGGAGAGGAGACCAGATGCCAAACGGAAAGAGAGGTGGGTGGGTGGTGGTGGTGATGGCTGCTCTCAATAAGCTACGAAGGAAGGGCATTCCACACCAGCTGCTGTCCATGGGTTGTCTTGTTTCTCCTCAAAAACAACTGAATGAGAGCAGGTGTCTCATTATTATTATTTTGGAGGAAGGGGAAGAGGGAGAGAAGAAGAAACATCAGTTTGCTGTTGCACTTAATTATGCATTCATCGGTTGATTCTTGAATGTGCCCCAGCCAGGGTGAGGGTGAGTGTTATCATTCCCCTTTTATAAATAAAGAACCTGAGATAAGGAGGTTAGAAAACTTACCCAAGGACTGGACGTGGGTATTGACTTAATCCTTCATCTATTCTGCCTCCCCTCCTCTCTCTCCCTCTTCCCCTCCTTCCCTCCTTCCCCGCTTCCCACCTCTATTACAGAAAGTGGAGCCAGGTCCTCTGTTTCTTGCCCTCGCCTTATCCCGCTTCCCAGGCGAAGCGGCGGTTCTGGAGCGTGTCCTGCGTGCAGGGCCCCGTATGAGACTTCCGCCTCCTCGTTGTGTTGGTCTCCACGGGAGGAGAGGGGCTCGCGATGGCTGAGACCAGGTGTCGGCAGGAGGCAGGCCCAGGTGTGTGTGCTGGGCCCAAGGCCAGACCGCACCGCAGGGGCTTCGTGTGTCCACCTGCCCCCACTAGGACCAGCTTTGAAGCGGCCTGGGTGTATGCAGATAGTCTGCTAGATGGCTATGCAAATACGTATAAACGCGACTGCTTTTCGGGTGGTTGAGCCAGGACCAGCCCACAGTTGGAAAAGGTCTGACTTCAAAGCTTGTGTCGTATTCTCCGGTTAAAGTCCAAATCACTCTTGGTTGAAATAATAGCCCATTATCTGAGGAAAACAAGAAGAACATAGTTGCAATTATGAAAGAAAAAAGACTAAGGTTTTCATAAAAAACGGCAGGCCCAGGAACGGATTCCAGGTTCAATATGAAATAGCTCCGAGGCTTGTTTCCTAACCGAACTCATGCTTCCCTCCGGGTTCCCACATGGGCGCCCTCACTCATCTCGGATTCCTCTGGAAGAACCATGCTTCACAAGCCTGAGAGGTCATGCTCGGG